CATTGTTTCCTTTTCAGCTGAACACCTGCTGAGGCTAAATAACTAAATAAATCGCTCGGTTCTATATTGAACTGCAGATCATGTGTATCTCTGAACAGCACAAGTGTCGACTGCTTACCAGCTGCTGTTGAACAGTCTGGTGCATTTATCTGGTGATTCTGGTAGGAAATTAGCTTTTGAACATCTTGCATCAGATTCCTAATAAACTTGACAAACTTTTGCTGATGTTTTTATGTGGTGTACTGATATCTGTGTACTTATTCAACCAGTTTGACAACCATTATCTCGACCGATGCATTGTGCATTTGCACATGGACCATGACTGCTGTTGGTTTGATATCTCACTAGATCTGTAGATCTCTAGATGTAAGCTAGGACATCTTCTACCCTACAACTTCACTGCTGCGACTGGGCTGACTGGAAAATAGTTCTGACTGGCCAAGGGGCTGACAGAGTGAGAAAACGACACAGCAGAATCTTACCAAAAGCTTTAAGATTTTGAGTAATCCTGAGCATGCATCCTCCATTATACACTTATTTAAACATTATAACCCCATGTTATATGATGTGTCGTTTTAATGATAGTGACAGTGATATAAGTCCTTCACATGCTTGAGGCCTAACTTGTAATCTGAACAGTGCTGTAATCAAGCAGAGAGCAAACATAGTGATGTTAAGGGGCAGAATATAAATGTTTATTTATTTAGACTACATCTCCGCATTGGTAACGTGTCCCACATTGTCCCACACAAACATACGCTCTGTCCTTTTTTACTTCATTGTGTCTTTAGAGTGTACCCCCCACTTCACATCTCCACCCTGTGAATGGCCCAGGACAGGAGGACTCTGTGATTAAAACTGCCCAGGAGATTATTGGCATCAGTGATATTGATGAATTAAGAAACCTGCACAGAGCCAAAAGGATTCAAAACCCACTCCAGCCACAGCCTGTTCACCCTGCTGCCATCTGGGAAGAGGTAGGTAGAAGATTTAAAGGTCCAGTCTGACATTTAGGAGGGCAAAAATGGAATATAATATACATTGATGTGTTTTCATTGTTATATAATCACCTGAAAATAAGAATCAAAGTGTTTTTGTTACCTTAGGATCTACAGACACCACAGGTCAACTTCTGTAGCAGCCGCACATGTTAAATCGGCATGTTTCTACAGTAGCCCAGAAGGGACAAACTAA